CAACACACACATCAAGACAGATATATCAACGTAAGATATATCAACGCATACATTTGTGTGTGCCAGATACATCAACAAACACATTGTGGGCCATATATATTAACACACAATAGTTGACAGGGTTCATACAATAGTTGACAGGGTTCATACAAGTTGACAGGGTTCATACAATAGTTGACAGGGTTCATACAAGTTGACAAGGTTCATACAAGCTGACAGGGTTCACACAATAATTGACAGGGTTCATACAAGTTGAAAAGGTTCATACAAGTTGACAAGGTTCATACAATAGTTGACAGGGTTCACACAAGTTGACATGGTTCACACAAGTTGACAGGATTCACACAAGTTGACAGGGTTCATACAAGTTGACAGGGTTCATACAACAGTTTAAATGGTTCATACAGCAGTTAACAGGGTTCATACATCAACACACACACGGTGGGCCATATATATATCAACACACACATTGTGGACCAAATATATATCAACACACACACACACAAATGAAAGAAAACAAACATCACCAGTTGAGGGGATAGAGGAAAACACACACTAGTACTTATAGATAATGAAATTATGCCCTTCCCATTCAAGCCCCGCCCGTGGGGGGGGGGGGGGGGCTGTTGTAGGGCGACACAGCGTCCATTATTGACAACAACAACAATTAGTGCTCACCAATAAATACATTTCTGAACGTAATTGGACAAAGTTGGATTGTGATGGTATTGATCGGTCGGCTCCCACAACCCACTCATACGGGCCACGCTAACATCAACTCGTGGGGAACAGTTGGATGTACGGTTAAAAGCGTTTGATGTCGGGGTTCAGTTGGCTTAGCCGTATCTCATTTCTGCACACCGTGTTGAATAAACTAGTAATGTCATAAAACGGTTAGTATATTAAGGAGGTGGTTAGGAAAAGCCCGTATGTTAAGTTAGAATTAATTTCTTTTTTAGGAGAGGGTTGGGAGGACCTTTGTGACGTCACCTACAGGTGGACTAGCCATTGAAGTAACCTTTAGACGTCAAGGAAGGTGGGGTCTGGTTATTTGTGATGACATCGGACAATAGAGGGTGGGGGGGGGGGGGGGGGGGTAAAGTCAACTGAAACAGTGTGACGTTTGTGGAAAACAAATGATGAGGAAAAAAAAGGGATACTATAGTGTAATTTCATTAGTTTGTTTTGGTAGATTCTAAACTGTGCTGGGTAATACAGCACAGTGTCTAGATAAGGGACGTCTAACCTTTGACATGGCTAATTAGCATAAAAATGTTATGTTTGTTGACATAACCCGAGCACAAAAAAGTTTAAGTACAAGAAAATAATAATATTTTTTAAAAATATTTTTTTTTTAGTTAGGGGGTGGTGGAGGTGGCAGAAAGATGGTTCCAGTGGTGTGAGGGGGTTGTGTACGATGTTTAGTTATACTGGGTTTGTATATCAGTCATGTTTTGTTATATCAGGGATGTATATTCAAACATGTTATACTGTTACAGTCGCTGCAACAATAACCATGTGTCCCTATTAACATTTCAAACTTGTATGTCAAACATTTTTTGTTATATCGGGGATGTATATTCAAATATGTTATACTGTAAAAGTAGCTCCATCAATAACCAATGTGTCTCAGTTAACATTCCAAGCTTGTGTATCAGACATGTTTTGTGTTATATCGGGGCTGTATGTTAAGCCATGTTAAACTGTTACAGTCGCTCCAACATTAACCATGTGTCCCTATTAACATTCTAACCGTGTGTTATAAAACTCGTGTATCGGATCAATAAGCAACGGCTTGGAAGGCAAAAGTGAATACAAGACTTGATCCTTGTGTTATTTTCTACATCACAGTGAGGCGAATAGAAGGCAAAAGTGACTTGATCATATACACATCCTCCCCCCTTCCTTTCTGTGTGCCTTGCAAGAGATATAGGCCTACCCTCACCACAAGAGACATACTGATAAAGTAGATATTTCCATTACCCAACCCCACAAATGTTTGTTAGAAAATCGGATCAATGCTGCATGTTAAAAATGTTGTAAATTTTGTGTTTACATTTTTAAATAGCAAAAAAAAAAAGAACTTTGTAATTGAATGCACGAATCTGTCTCATCTTCTAAACAATTATGTAACGACATTATTATTATTTCTATAGTCTACCAACCCCCTGAAGTGACCCAAATCAAATGACCCCTGTTGCTCCCCCCCCCCCCCCTCCTTTCCAGGTGGTCCCCCTTTCATCATGCGAAGTCATGCAAATCTAAGGCAACATTGCGGCTAGCTAACCACAAGTGAAGATCGTTACGTGTGATAGAAAAACAATTCCCCCGCCGTCCAGATTTAGACACATACCTCGCCCATTACACAACTTGGCATGACGTCGGATCACGTGATAGCCTGTTTACATTCATGGGACAAAAGTTCATTGTGTTCATAACAAAAACACCAACAGAGTTCATTTACGAAATCGGCGTGACGTAACGTAACTCCACAAGCACTGAGCGATTCTTGACCTACTTTTCGTTGAGGAAAAAAAAACGTGTCGAGTCAGCTGGTGAGTCCATTTTAAATCGTAGGGGTGAGCAGGTTGTACAAACTTCAGTTTTTATTAATTTAAGGGGTGCTAATGTGATAAAACTATAACGTTTATCTTGTGTTAACATTTGGTTTCATCAAGTTGTGTAGCAGAATGTATACGTTTTTACAGGTAGCCGTCTGCTTAAGCGAAAACATGAAAGGCGCGAAGATTTTTTTTTAACGAGGCGGTGAGCACCTGAGCCTCACCTGCATGAACGTCTGCTCCGTGAGTCAGTATTGTTACCTTTGGTGTGTAGGGGTATGTTTCAGTGGCCGATATTGCAAAAGTTGTAGAACTTTTTTTTTAAATGAATGTTATGGTGTTACGTTGTTAGAAATAAACAATTAACTAAAATTTCTTGATTATGTTAACGTTGTCTCAAACTCTAATACAGGCCAGTCTATAATTCTAACTCTAATTCTAGCATTAACACTCAACTGATGCTATGCAAAAAAATAACCTAACACACCTATTTTTGTGAGAGTTCATTATTGGACACTCTGGAAGAATATTCTGGTACTTCTCCACACTACGGTAGATTTGATGGAATCTTTATACATAGGTTGTACACGGTAGCTGGGGTGTGGGGACGGTAGGCATAGCGAAATTATCTACTTAGGTATGTAGATCGACATAGATGTGGAGATGTGTCGTCACGGTCTAGTCTCCAAAGAGATGAATAGATGCAACAAGTCTAGATGTATATAAATGGCAAGATCGAGATATGTATAGATGCAACAAGTATAGATGTATATAAATGGCAAGATCGAGATATGTATAGATGCAACAAGTATAGATGTATATAAATGGCAAGATCGAGATATGTATAGATGCAACAAGTATAGATGTATATAAATGGTAAGATCGAGATATGTATAGATGCGACAACATCGAGACCACTATGTACAGAGGCAGCAAAATCACCAAAAGAACATCCAGCCCTCTACCACGACAAACTCTAGTTTCTCCACCCAATCCCTAATGGGTATCCTCCATAACAGAGGCTCGGCTCACTGGTTGGCTTTCGAGCACCGAAAGGTTAAAAAAACGAACAGGTATCCTTCTAACTCCTCAACCACCACCCCTCCCCCAATCCATCCTCGCGAATGTGGTGTCCAAACCTCCGCACTACACACTTTCTTGCATTTGGATTTCGTTATCTTAGACAGGGCTTGTTTTTTTTTTTTTTTCATGTCGATCTTGGTCCAACATTTGTGTCCTTGTCGACGAAACACTTTAGTGTACTGATGAAGGCCGAGGGTCGAAACACCCATCATTATTACGAGTTGCCACTCCAGTCTAATTTAATACAGACATCCACTCTTTAGATTTGAGTCCATCGTGATAGATGCAAATCAGAAACTTTGTTTTTCCCACTGATAGCAAGGCTAGAAGAGTTATCCATCAACAAATACCACTTTTAGCAACAAAAATATCGCGTTACTGTAAGCTACATTTCCTTGGGCTATGAAACTTTATGCATGAGTTTTTAGTGCGCTAGTTCTAAAAAAAAATTAAACTCATCTGAATTTTTTTTAAAATCCCCACCACAACCCCCCCCCCCCCCCCCCCCAGCATAGAGCCCGGAAACGCCAGGTCCACGGTGACCTAACCCTCGAAGATGTTTATGTAACATGAACTCCTTAATGAAATTAATCAGCACGGGGTCAACGAGTTCATAATCTAGTTCATGTAAGCATATCATTACATTGTGTACCCACCTACACACATTCATTTTTTACGGACCAAAGTTTTCTTTTTGTAAAACTACAGACAAGTAGATCTATCTAATCTTACGAGCTTATGTAAGGAGGTAGACGTTCTGGATTTTCATATGGCGAGCTAGATTCAGGATTATCCTGTAGCCAGTCGGCTAGATTCAGGATTATTTTGTCAATAAACTGGTTGCTACCTGAAGATGTTTTCTACACAAAATGACCAGCTCTCAATAGAATACCTGGCCGCCTCTAGATACAACACCTGGCGACAGTACAGAGGAGTCAGAGAAAGTCACCTTGAGGGGTTGTGTTCACGGTCTGTTGGTGCCTGGGTTGGGGGTCATGTTATGTGTGACCCTCACAAGGCGAGATAAAAATAGGGTAATCTGATATTTGAAGAGTACGATGTTATGTGTGGCATTGGGGGTGGGGGTGCTGGCGCGAAATGGGGGTTCTATTTGCGGGTAGGGGGTGGGGTTTTTTAAGTTGATAGAGAGAGTTTTAAGTTATTCAAAAATGGCTTGGTTGCTAGTGGTAGGAGGGGGGAGATTTCTGTAGATTTGGGGGTGGGTGTGACCTTATATAAATCGGAAGAGGGAGGGAGGGTTTTATGCAATTATAGAAGAGGGTGGCTTTTTGCAAGGAGGGGGCCATTGTGTCACTGAACAGGGAGGGGGGTTAAGGATAGCCTTGGCGTACTTACCCTGTGTGATTTAAGTCCATCTATGTTGACCACAAACCCCACCCCACAGGCGTCAGACTCCAGGGAGGGGTCGTACATGCCCTGTGGCGGGGGGAGCCCGGGGCAGCTGAACTCGTGTGGGTTTACCACAGGCATCTTCCAGGGTGGTCTCTGAAACAACAAGTTGACAGGGTTCATACAATAGTTGACAGGGTTCATAGTTGACAGGGTTCATACAACAGTTGACAGGGTTTATACAACAGTTGACAGGGTTCATACAATAGTTGACATGGTTTATACAATAGTTGACAGGGTTCATAGATGACAGGGTTCATACAAAAGTTGACAGGGTTCATACAATAGTTGACAGGGTTCATAGTTAACAGGGTTCATACAATAGTTGACAGGGTTCATAGTTGACAGGGTTCATACAACAGTTGACAGGGTTTATACAACAGTTGATAGGGTTTATACAACAGTTGACAGGGTTTATACAACAATTGACAGGGTTTATACAACAATTGACAGGGTTCATACAACAGTTGACAGGGTGTATACAACAATTGACAGGGTTTATATAACAGTTGACAGGGTTCATACAACAGTTGACAGGGTTTATACAACAGTTGACTGGGTTTATACAACAATTGACAGGGTGTATACAACAGTTGACAGGGTTCATACAACAGTTGACAGGGTTCATAGTTGACAGGGTTCATACAACAGTTGACAGGGTTTATACAACAGTTGACAGGGTTTATACAACAGTTGACAGGGTTCATACAACAGTTGACAGGGTTTATACAACAGTTAACAGGGTTTATACAACAGTTAACAGGGTTCATACAACATTTGACAGGGTGTATACAACAGTTGACTGGGTTTATACAATTGACAGGGTTCATACAACAGTTGACAGGGTGTATACAACAATTGACAGGGTTTATATAACAGTTGACAGGGTTCATACAACAGTTGACAGGGTTCATACAACAGTTGACAGGGTGTATACAACAGTTGACAGGGTTCATACAACAGTTGACAGGGTTCATAGTTGACAGGGTTCATACAACAGTTGACAGGGTTTATACAACAGTTGACAGGGTTTATACAACAGTTGACAGGGTTCATACAATAGTTAAAAGGGTTTATACAACAGTTGACAGGGTTTATACAACAGTTGACAGGGTTCATACAATAGTTAAAAGGGTTTATACAACAGTTGACAGGGTTGATACAACAGTTGACAGGGTTCATACAATAGTTAAAAGGGTTTATACAACAGTTGATAGGGTTTATACAACAGTTGACAGGGTTCATACAATAGTTAAAAGGGTTTATACAACAGTTGACAGGGTTTATACAACAGTTGACAGGGTTCATACAACAGTTGACAGGGTTCATACAACAGTTGATAGGGTTCATACAACAGTTGACAGGGTTCATACAACAGTTGATAGGGTTCATACAACAGTTGACAGGGTTTATACAACAATTGACAGGGTTTATACAACAGTTGACTGGGTTTATACAACAGTGTATTCAATGAAGTTATACAAAACATGCTTCGTATTGATTTGCTGATGACGGATGAAATTGTTTGAAATACAAAATTAGAGACGTGTTTTATTAGAGAAGAGATTTTTTCATTTCAAGAGTATAGATCTACATTTTTAAAAAAAAAATTGTTTTCATAGAAGCCATTAAAATAAGAGAATTGTAGAGATGGCTACCAAACAGCCAGCCTCCCCTGGGATTATACACTGCGTGTTTGGTGAAAAAGTTATTTTGAAATCTTTGACTCGTCTCCCCTGGTATCGGGACGTCTATTCAAGTGAAAAATCGATTGAGATTTCCAGATCGGAAAATTCAAGGAGATACAAAGCTCCATAAACATTACTTTACAAATGACAGGTAACTATAAAATGCATGTATATATATATATATATATATATATATATATATATATATATATATATATATATATATATATATATATATATATATATATATATATATATGTATATATATATATATATATGTATATATATATATATATATATATATATATATATATATATATATATGTGTGTGTGTGTGTGTGTGCATATGTATATACAAATTAAATTGTCTTGCAACGTAATCACTTCGAAGTACAATCACACACACATGTGTGTGCGTGTATATACAAATTAAATTGTCCTATACCGTAATCCCATTTAAGTACAATCACACCAATATATGTGAGTAGTATATTAGGTCCCTTTTGGAGCGAAGGCGCAGGCGCAGGCGCTGGTGGGGATGCGCAAAGGATATATAGTAAAATACTCGGATGCGCAGGGGGATGCGCAGGCGCATCCTGGGACAACGAGATATAGTAAAATACTCGGGATGGGGATGGGGAGCCTGGGACAACGAGATATAGTAAAATACTCCAGGCGCAGGCGCAGGCGCAGGGTGAAGGAGCCGCAGGCGCAAAGACATATAGTAAAATACTCCGGATGGGGATGCGGATGGGGATGGGGATGGGGATGCGGATGGGGATGGGGAGGATGCGCAGGGATGCGGATGGGGAGTAGGTCAGTAGGTCAGTAGGTCACCGGTGGTGACCTTGTGACGTAATCAGTGACCTAGTTACGTAATTTTAATGAGTTTTTAATTAGTTTTAATGAGTTTTTTAAATTTTAATTAATTTTTTACCTAGTTACGTAATTTTAATGTGTTTTTTAATTAGTTTGAATTTAATTTTTAAATTTTTAATTAATTTTATTAACGAGTTACGTAATTTAATGCGTTTTTTAATGAGTTTGAATTTAATTTTTAAATTTTAATTAATTTTTATTATCGAGTTACGTAATTTAATTACTTTGATTGTATTTTTAATTGTTTAATTTGTTGTTTACTTGTTGTTTAATTTAATTACTTTGTTTATATTGTGTAATTTTTTATTGAGTAGTTACGTAATTGGATTTTAATTTTTTAAATTTTTAAATTTTAAATTTTATTTTATTAACTAGTTACGTAATTTGATTATTTGTTTGAAATTCATTTTATTTCTTTGATTTTAATTACTTTGTTTAATTAATTTATTTGATATATTTCTTTTCTTTGATGTATGGTATTTAAAATAAAAGACACTGTTTATTTGAATGTATGTATGTTTTAAATTCTCCCCTACAACGAACGTGTACAAAAAACAGGTTAAATTCTCCACCACAACGAACGTTACAAACATAGAACATCCATTAAAGATAACGATCAGCCACAGCTGTTACGTATCGACCCGCCCGCGAAGTTTTCTCACCGCTGCCCGTTTTAATGGGAATGTATTGATCGCAGCCGCTGGCCCATCACACCTAATTAATTTGGTCACGCCTCGTGGGTTTATGTGTTGTTCACGGACGCGAACACAGCAGGGGGTATGATAATTAATTGAAAGAGCTAAGTGTCTCTCCGCGAAGCTAGCGTTAAGTGTGGGAACACCTGTTACCACGTTAATCGATTTTACCGATCGCTTTGTTAGCTCCGCGAAGCACTTAGGTCATTATGCAACAGATGTTGTGCGACAGCTGGGGGTGTAATTAGGCTGTGCAAGCGTATAAATGACCGCGAAAATTGTGTTCTAATCACTTCAACTTCGGACTTCACACCAAGCTTCACCGCGACTTGTCCAACCTGAGTCCTCTGTTGACTCCCGAGACTAACCCACACCAGCTTTATCAACCATCACATCTACCTAACCCTCCAAGGACCACCTCTTTTGTGCGTGTTTATTCTATTAAAGGTAAGGTTAATATTACTTTTGTTTTATGGGCGCTAACCCTATTAAAATCAAATCTTATTAAATAAGTACTCACATGTATTTAATTTTGAATCGTACACCGAGGTAAGGTTAATAGTACGTATTGTTTTAAGGGCGCTAACCCTATTAAAATACCTTTTAATTAATTACTTTAATTTTGTATCGTACACCGAGGTAAGATTTGTTTTGTATTGTTTTAAGGGAACTAACCCCCATTCAAATACCTTTTAATTAATTACTTTACTTTTGTATCGCACACCGAGGTAAGGTTAATAGTATGAATTATCCTTTGAATACCCTTTAAATAAACATGTATCTAAATAAGTAGTCAATTGAATTTTCTTTTTAGTGTACAACCGACCCAACAAGGCAACCAGTGAGCTACCTACTCATCCCTGAGGCATCCACTGAACCAAACGATCCAGCTACAACCAACTACACCACTTCGGATCTCCACATACAGTTAACTACACGTTCAGCTTAGACGTTCAAAACCATAGGTACGTTTCATTTTTTAATTTTGTTTTGTTTTAAGTATGTTTTTTTTTTTTTTTTATTTCATCCATTTTATTTTATGTATTTATTTTATTTTTGTTCTACAGCCACCGACCTACCCAAGCATCCAACAGTTCCACACACTCAACACTTCGTCAATAATGGAAGCCGCCCAACCTACCAGCCACCCAGCCATGACCCGCTTCACATGCGAGATCTGCGACCGAGTGTTCAGCCGTAATCAACATTTCATACGACACCAAGAGACAGCACACGGTCGAGGAAGACATCCCTGCACAACATGCGGGAAAGTATTTACACGCCGAGAAAATTTAACAACCCACTATAAGACAGCACACAACAACCAAACATTATTGACCGACACCCCATCAGCGACCAACAGTCAAACCATCCAACCCACATTAGTGACCGACACACATACTGTCCAACTCTCAACAGCGAGCCAAACAGCTCGTACCGCGACCAACACTAGCCCCTTAAAACGACAAAGGACGTATGACGACATATCAAACAACAAACGCGTAAAGACTAACAATGACAGTAACATTAATTCACACACCACTATTTATCCTGTAGACGACCTTAGGGGAGATGCAGTAGACTTACACCCGACCACAGACAAAGCTTCACCCACATGCCTTCTTACAGACATTCCTGACTTTATTAAACATAATCACGCCATTAATATGTTACTACAGGATTCACAGTCAAAACCCTACACAGACAATTTCTCCTTTTTTAGATGTTTAGCCAGACATTTAGGGTCACCCACAAGAGATCTTAGAATTCCAACATTACATCTCGCGAAACAGTGGCAAGCACACCAAGGTCTCGGGACCTTGGCTAATTTTAG